ATTGCAGCGTAGTGTATGTTAGTAAAGTTTTGATGCATGAAATAATAATTAGGTTACTAAATTATACGTTGCTATCAACGATTTATTTTCTCAGGATCATGTTAATATTAATCAAAGCTTTATACGGAAGATTGGAAATTAGCTGTAAAATTAGTAGAAATACGAATAATTATTTGATTATTTATGATAATTTGATATAGTAAATACAATACGAGTATTCGGAAGATTTATAAATGTTTACTGTAATTACAACAAGAATATAGTAATTTTCATCTAATTATTATCTCTTGGATTCTAAAGAAAATCTTAATGATATTGTATGTATCATTAAAATTATAGATAGTACATATTAAAATATATTCCTTACAAAGTTTTCCTAAAATAATTGTTTACCGTTATGAAAATAACGGTATATGAAAATATAAATGAATATTGCTTTATCGTTAAAAAAAAAAACAAAAAAAAAAACAAAAAAAAAACAAAAAACAAAAACACCATTTAAACAACTTTTTCTCAACTCTCTTTGAACAAAATAATCGTCTAATTTCAGATGTAATTATTCCATAATTAATCATTTCCTTTTCCGGAAATCAGAAATCAAATAGAATATCACATACACTGTGAACCGGTGACTGTAATTGGCAATTGTACATACTCAACGATACACCAATTCGCATTAATAAACAAATATTTGTTATTGTATCTTTGCTATTGTGTATATATTTATATTTTCATTGCTGTTAATTTATAATTAAATTTTATTTCTATTCTATCTTTTCTACAATCAACATTTTTTGTGAATTGCTAGTATTTTTTTTTTTTTTTTTTTTTTTTTTTTTTTTTTTTAGTCATTGTTGCAAATAAAGCCTATAATAATAAATAATATGTTAAATTATAAATCATCTTTTTGATATTAAATTTGATATAAAATACTGCTTGTAGAAAATCATTATATATATTGTTAGATGAAAAGAGAAATCAATTTCACCGATAAGATTTTAATCTTAAAATAATTCGCATGAATTTATAAAATTTTTTTTATATTCTTATAGTAAAAAAAAAACGTGTATCTCATTGTCATCGTGTTTCTGTAAGTCAGCAATGTAGATAAATCGATTGATTAATGGATGTATGAAAGTTATTTATTATAAGAACTGGAAATTTTAGATTATAGATAAATGAAGATACTCGTTGGCTACAATTATTAACAAAAAATTATATTCATAGAGGTAGCAACACTTAATTTAAGTAGGCAAGAGATAGCCATTACATATTAAATTAATACAGATACACCGAAGATAAAATAAAATATTATCTCATGTTTTATGGTACAAACTGTCAGTTAAGAATATGATGTCAGATTAAAAACAAAGTATTCTAGGTGAAAGTAATATCATTGGTGTGAATATTGGAAAAAATTGATCATTACGTAGGAATCTGAATCTCCAGAAATCCCGCTAATCTTAGAACGAATTATTGAAATGACGCAAGAATCGAATTTATTTAAGTAAATTTACGTATTATATTTTATAAAATAATAATAATCGTTTGGAGAAATTTTAAGACAATTACTTGACAATAATTTATTAATGTATTTCTTAAATTGAGTATGTTTAATAAAGATATAATGTACATTCATTTTTTGTATAAATGGAAACAGTGAGTCTCCTTTGGTGAGTCAAACTGTTTAGTAATAAATTTTATAAATATCTCGTAATATTTTTCAATTTTAAAATTCTTTTTTCACTTTAAAATTTGATGAATTTATTAAACTATCCAATACTGCACAAATTAACAATAACAATAACTCACTGCATGAAAGTAAATATCTTTTCTTATTTCTTTTCTCTAACAATATTCAAATGCAAAAATATTCTCACATTATATACAACAATTAAGTATTATTATCACATAAATAATGATGCTATTTTAATACATAAATAAATACATAAAAATACTTAATGAATAAATAAAAGTACAAATATCACAATTAAATGTTATTGTTTATATTGCCTAACGATTGCAATCATAATGTAACGATAAAATATATAATTTCATTTCATTTCATTTAATTAAAACTGTTGAATAAATTTAAACTATATTTTAAATTATTGTCTGCGCTTGTATTGAACGATAATGAATCATGAACAAAATTAATGTTCCATTCACAAAGTTGTTAAAATTTCTCCGAATTATATTAGAACAATGATAAAAAGCTTCATAAAATAATGTGCTTTCGTTCATGATAATTAAAATTATATTTATATAATCATTATATTAAAACTATAAGTGGAATAATTTCAAATATCATCATTCAATTTAAAATGCTAAACTTGTTTACTGTATTTATAATAGCGAGATTCAATATATTCTGATAAAATCTTGCAGCTTATTATTAGCGTCGATGTATAATTAAAGTTAAAATTAAAAACCAAATTAAACAAAAAGTTGTTTGCAGTCTCAATGATCTAATAAAAAAAATTCTCTATTGAATTTTATATTTATAAAAGGGCATCATGATTTTAGTCTAACCGATCAATATAAACATATATATATATATATATATGTATATGTTGCAAATATTTCTATATTTATTTTTATAATATAAAAATCTTTATATAACGCTGCGTACTTTATAAATTATAAACGTTTAAATTACATTATTGGCGTTTTCAATACTAATATATTTCAAATTAAATTGCAGCTCGGCTAATAATTAAAATTCTTATAGGCTATACGTGTTGACCATTTGCAGTCGTATCACTTCTATAATATAATCGATAAACGATGTTTATATTCTCTGGATCTTAACAAGTCCGTGTCTATGGTTTTTCTTTACTTAATTCAGAACAAAAAGTCCTTTAACCATGTAAATATTAACAGTTTCTCATAGATGCTAGACGAATAGGATAGTAGACTAATAGTGTTATAATCGGGTGCAGGAAGGCTATACGTAAGTGAGCTAAAGTACTTCAGAGGTCAGTCCCGCTCCGTCCTATGCTTAACTGCCGTAACGGATTGATGAGATACTACGAAATGCCGTTAGGTGCCTGCCCGTAATGCCCAAATTACACTGACCCAATGCAATGTATAAGACACTTATCCGTGCCGTGATCGACCAAAGAATGTAATAATTAATCGCTGATGAGACAAAAGCTATGAATCATGCAACGTCATTGTATTTATATGTACTCTAGTCGTTAAATTAGTCTATTTATTGGCTGTCTCCTTATTTATTGCGCGCTCTATCTATTATCTTAATATCAATTATATTTCACTTTAATCAATGCATAATTAATGCAGGATAAATCGTTAATTCTCGCAGTCTTTGTGGACAAAAAACTTTCAGCCGATGCGGATTATTAATAGTGTTACTTCAATTATAACTTTGATGTGCTTCTTTTATAATTACAACAATAGGGATAATGTAATACATTCTTCTTGTTAAATTACAAATTACTGCCAAATATAGTAATTTGTATTAATTATATTAATGGTATATTACAATATTAATAGAAAAATTACATCAAATTATTTTTTTAATAAAATTTTTATAAATGTAATTGCTAGATTTTGTTAATTTGATATTTTTCTTATAAAAGTTATTCTTCGACTATACGTTCGATATATTTCAAGTATATGTTAGGTAGGAGTTTTTTACCTTCTTATTCTAGAATTCGTTGTATGAACTCAAACAGATGCAAGTGAACTCTAAATGTTATAAAGTTAACAAATTGTTCCGCATATTAATGAAAAATGGATTTAGAATAGAATCATACATCGATCACTACTGCCCTTCAAAAATCATATTAATCTTTTGTTCAAATTTCGAATATATTTCAAGAGAAATTTATAAGAGAAAATGATATCATTATGATGTAAATGTCTTTTACATTGGTTTTTAAATAACTCATAAACATAAATGGCAATAGGCTAATTTGGCATATTATTTAATAAGTTTTTATTCTAATTATTTATATTTTAACGTACACAACGGTAATCTTTAAATTACGATAAATAAAATTTTATCACTTTCAATTAATTAACATAAATATGACAATAAAAGGGTATTTTTATTCGATGTTTTAGCTTATACGTTTCCCCTTTTATTCCGACAACAAAAAATTTTCCGAACTATACAAACACTTGGCTATATATATAAACTTGTTTCTCATCATATTTCAAAAATTAGAATATATAGATTGCATTTTTTGTAAAATTAAATAAATATTTATGTGCAATTTTTTTAAATAATTGTATTGAAATTTTTTCAATACAATTTAATTTAATAATTACATATTAAATGTATGTAGTTACAATTAAATAATAATTCAATGATCATATATATTTAAAACATAACATTATACATTGACTTTAAATATTGTAAAACAAAACTTATTTTATATGAAAGAGCCAACAAAACAAGATATAATATTAGCATTGGAATAATTGATGAACATTTTTTTTGTTTACGTATATTCGGTTGTATATTGTCCAACATAGCATTAATTGATATTACAATAAAGAAGATTAATTTCTTTACATTGATCTTAATGATTATTGATATTATTATTCATCATACATCATACGAAATAATGTATATCAGTATAAAATTCTTCAATTCATTAATATTTCACAAATTACATTGTTAATATGCAAAATTAAGATATTTGATTTTAAGGAAAAATATTATAAAAATTGTAGATTAACGAGAGTTTATACATTATAACTTTGAAAAAGTTTTTGTTTGCGTGGAGCTTAATATGTAAAGTTGTTTAAACGAATACAATCTTATAAAAAATAATTCGATTCAGTCTATTATTCAACTTCAATTAGATTAAAACCATTCAATCCAGCAGATCTATCGGGATAAAATCCTATTCTAGATTAAATTTTCTCAATTGTATTCTGAATAGTTGGCAGCGACGACAAAAATACAAACTCAATCTTCTGTACCTCGAGCCAACTGTAATAATCAATG